TAAATATGAATAATTAATAAAATAACTTATTAACTAATATTATAAATTTTAAATAAAATTTTAATTTTAATTATTCTTTAAATTGTAAAGCAGGCAAATTTGCCTGCAAACATAAAAAAAAGTATTAATTTTTTAATAAAAAATAAAATATTAATATTAATAATAAAATTATTATATAAAAAATATATATTTTATCAATTTATTAGAAGAAATTTTAAGTATATTAAGAAGTTTTTAAATAATTTAATTTTTAAAATTAAGTTTTAAAAATTTTATTATAATAATTTTTTAAAATTCATATACTTACGAATTAATTGACTCACTTTACTATTAATAAAAATTATAAAATTTTTTAGTAAATTATAAAAATTATAATAATTAAAGTTATTCTTTATGATAAATTTTATAATATTCTATTATAATTAATATTGCTAAAAGTAAATATTAACTAGGTAACGGGAACTGTTAGAGCGTCTAAAGCATTTTAACAGTTTATTAAATAATATCCAGTAAAAATGTAACAGAAAAAATGTAACATTAAAAATATCACACAAAAAATGTAACTAAAAAAAATCAATCGAGTGTTATTTGAGAACACATAGAAATTAACTATCTTTTTTCAGCTAATCTCTCTTATAATCTCTTACAAGCTTTAACACCCCCAAGTCTTTCAAACGAAAATGGCTTAAAAAGAGTATTTTCAAGAGAATGAACCCAGGATATAGTCATAAACAAAAGGCTAGTAGCATACTCTTTTTTTCCAAGATCTATTATGATCTTTCGCAAGGTTAAACCCTAACTTTTATGAACTGTGATAGTTCACGCAAAACAAATAGAGACCTGCAGCTATAAACATGAAGTTTTTTTTTTCTATTCAAGTATGTTTAACAGGAATTATTGGAATGATTTTATTACCTTATGCAGATATGATAGCAGGTCCAGTATAACCATCAAATTCTATCAATATTACAATAGGAAATGAAGGAAGACCCTGACTTTCTTTAAAGATAATTTTATTAATCTCTTTGCAGAATGTTTGTAGAAGCTTTCAATCAGATTTAGAAAGCTGCTAATCGATGATATTTTGATTCTGAATTTCATCTGACCGATTAATGCATTTATCAATATTTCCTAAAACACACCATTTTTTTTTATTATGTTTTTGCTTACAATCTCTGATCAGCTGTGTCTCATATTATTCTGGAATTTCTATTGACCTTTTCATCTATTTACCTTCATGATCGTTTATATAACGCATCTCACAATGTTCAATAATTTCATTTTCTCTGGATTTACATTTTCGAAGGGTAGATTGGCTGAATATTTGGCAAATCTTGGATTATCATATTTTATTATAGCTTAAAATATAATGATTTATATGATTTTATAGTTTACAAAGTCAATACTTCAAAAGCAGATAAAAAAATTAAAAATTTATTTATTCTTTATTATTCTTACAAATATATTTAAAATTTAATTAAACATTATTACATATACAACAAGTGTCATTTATTTTACAATTATATTTTTTATTATATATTCTTAAAATTTTATACATTGTTAACAAATAACGCGTATTTCATTTAATTTATTTATCCTAAAATATGATTGGCCGCCTTTATTATTTATTGTTATTGTTATTAGTCTGGAACGAAGTGAAGGACTATATATGTCTACGCAAAGTGTCCCAATATCCGCCCACTCAAAAATTGAGTCAATGCTGATAGGCTTTTGCAATATTTTTTTAGTCAAGATCATTCTAGACTTAACCATAGTCCCGTTCTCTAGTTATAGATTATTATAGAAATAACTGTTATACCTGATCCTGAAATTTTATTAGCTCTTACAAGCTTAGTAACAGACAGAAATTGCATGGTTTCAAGTGTACATTAAAAGTTCTACACTTACGCTTTGGACAATAAGAAGATCAAAAGTTAATGATAAAATTTTTTAATTTATAATTTTTTTACAACTTACAAATTTTAGCATATAAGTAATCTTAAATCATTTATTATATAATTAATAAATCAAATTTCTATAATATTAATATTATATATATTTATAAAATTAATTTAAAAAAAAAAATTTTAAAAATTTTAATTTTTCATAAAAGGAAATTTATAGTAAATAAGCAGGCAAATTTATTTACAAACTTTTATAGTTTAAGAGATAGTGAAAGTATAATTAATAAGTAATATAATTTTAAATTATTAAATATTTTTTTTAAATAAAAATATTTAATAAAATTTAATTTATAATAAAAAATATAATTAAATACTGATAATTAATAAATAACTTACTTATTTTAAATATTTTAATTTTAAATATAAAATTAATTAGTTTAAATTAAAGCTCTGAATAGTTAAGATTAATCCAAAGATTTTTTAGATCAGTTCAGTTTAGATCAGTTTTAGATTGTATAAAAATCAATCTGAAAATTTTCAGTTCAGTTTAGATTTTTTTCAAATTATAATTCTAATCTGAACTGAAAAAAATCTAAACTGAACTGATAATTTCAGATTAATCTGAAAGTTCAGTTCGATTATATGCGAAACTCTTAAAGAATCACAAAATTTGTGAATTCTTTAAGAGGATCGCAAAAATTTAGCGAAATTTTTAGAGAATCGCAATTTTTTGCGGTTTCTCTTTGAATTTTGCAAAAAATTGCAAAACCCTTGGAGAATCGCAATTTTTGTGATTTCTCTTAGTATTTTGCAAAAAATATCACGAAATTCTTGGAGAGTCATAAAAAATTGCAATTTCTCTTTGAATTTTGCAAATTTTTGCAAACCTCGAAGAGAAATTCGTGATTTTTTGTGATTTTCCTAAAGTTTCATATATAAATTGCAGATTTCTTATATAATTGAACTGTAATTTTGGATTAATCCAAAAATTCTGGTACAGTTTAGATTTTTACCAGTCTGCGGTTCAGTTCAGATTCAGATTAGCATTTTTAAGATTAATAATCTGAACTGAACTGAACCAAAATTTTTAGTTCAGATACAGATTGGTATCTAATCCAAACCAAACTGAACCATTCAGAGCTTTAGTTTAAATTATAATAAATTTTTTTTTTAATAAAAGATTTATTTAAAATTAATAATAGTAAAAATATAATTTAATATCAATAAATGAATTTTATATTATTATAAAACTCTCAATTCAATGAACATGTTAATTTTATTTTTTATAAAATTCTAATCAATGAATCATGAAAAATCATTATTATTTAATCTAATATTTTGTAATAGCATTTGAAAATTAATAACTTATTATAATCATATTACTTAAATTAGACTTTAAATTCTTTTTTTTTTTTTTATTTTTCCATTGATATTCTACTTTTTTTAGATATTTAATATTAATTAGAATGTATTTTTATTTTTTTAAAATTCAAAATCATTTGTTATTAGTTGGTATAATTATAAATAATTAAATACCAATATTTTTTTTAATGCTTCAAATTTAATTTTTGTTTTATTTTTCTTATCAATTAATTCTTGAATTTTTATTTTTCATTTAATAATATCAAAAATTCCTTCATAGTAAATATAAATTATAATATTACAATTTATTAATTCATTTTTTACTTTAATTCATTATAATTAACTAAAGTAGTTTGAGAAGTTTTAATGAATGTTTGTATTTGATTATCTTTTTTTTTTGATTCATTTAGAAATTCTTCTTTCTTTACATAAATTGTTCAAGGGATAAACTATAATTTAATCATTGAATTTACTTTCTTTTGTATTTACTTTTTTAGACATTTTATCAAATAATAAAATATCATATAATATATCATGTAATTTCATTTTTTAATAATTTATGATTCAACTAGCTTCTTTTACTAAAAAGATAAAAGTTATAGCAGAAATCAACATGTTTATTGGCTTAATAACTGTAAAAGAAAATGATTCACTTTTAACTCAATCTGTTGAATTAAATATAATACTTTTATCAAAATCAAACCTACAGTATATAAAGACACAACAAAAGTAATAGCAAATGAATTGATAAAATTCCTTTATTGAACTCTTGATTTAACTATCCTAAAATCTTATCTTGAGTTATCTTTCAACTTAAGGGAAAATACATGATATTTATATAAGTTAAAATACTAATAATATAATATAACTAATAAAATATAAATGATAAAATAAATAATAATAATAACTTTATTAAATAAACTACAACTAACAAATATAACGAATATAAGTAATATAAATAATGGATCAACTATGACCACTTTGTCATATTGGTCAGCTTCATTAACTTTGTTAATCATTTCGAATTACGAGACTGGTTGCAGTCAAGAATCACGGTTTCATCGTTCGCTTCATAACAGGAAAACTGACATTGGCACCTCTATCGGCTCCTTTTTTTTATGAAGTGATACGAATCCTTTTGGGCTGAATATTCAAATTACTTGTAGAATGAGCCCTGCAAAATCAAATCTAATTAGTTTTACAATAACGATTTTTATATGAAATAAATTTCTGATAATTTACTTGAATGCAAAAGTCCAGTTCTCTGATTGTGAACAATCATGGATTGGTCTTTCCGAGTTTCAATCCATCTCCAAGTCGGTTGGTATCATTCTGATGAACCACTTCGATGACGTCATCACATTACATTCGGAAAATTCCATCTCCACGACGTCACGTTTTTGCTTTGTATTCCTATTCATATTCCATTCCTATTTTTTTTTTGTATCAACAGCTATACTCGCCGATTCCTTTCTGTAATCACGAAGTATAACATTAGAATCTCAAATCTTAGTGAAGTTGGAATTATGAAATTAATTAATCACCTGACGGTTTATAGTCCTCGAATGCTACTTAGAGCAAATCAACAATCGAAGACCTTGATTGGATCAGTCCGGTCCAAAGAGAATGAAAGACCTATATTTTGGTCCAACCAGTGTTGGATATTTGTTAAATTGGACGTATATGTATAAATCCAACACTGGTTCCAACCCTTCACAGACCACACGTCGGTAATCAAAGCTATTTTAAAGTAGCACATTTAATATAATATTAAGAATATAAGGAAAGACATAAGAAAAAACTTACAAGTACCTCGTCAAATACTCGTCCATTCGGCATCAAAGTGCTTTTCTCGATTAAAAGATTCATTCTGTCCCGATATGATGTTGTTTCAAGCACATCACTAAGATCAGAAACAGTTCGAACCAGAATTACAAAATCTGTTCAGTATAACACACACAAGGGAAATGAAACAGCCACGTAATCATATTCATAAATCTTGATAAAAAATTTGCAAAATATTCATCACCTTAGATTTAATATCGTTCCTATTTTCATGCCATTCCTCTGTAGTAAACAATTCTCAGTCTCCAAGTCATCTAAATCTATTACCCAAGTATGTAATATTGACTCGACCGTGAGTTTTTTTTTCCTTTCATTGAAAATAATATCTTCAACACCTCTGGATTTGAGCATGAAACATTCTTGCATATGAATCAGCAAAGCACTTAAATCGTGATGGAAGAAAAAGTGGAATTGCATTATCAGCATCACTATCAGCATCACTGAAATGAAAAGGAAATAAAGGAAATGAAATTGTGAACCTATCAAAGAAAAAAGCAGGCAACCTGCCACCATACAATACCTTGAAAAATATTCCGACTAGTGGCCTGCATTGGGCCGGATCCGGATTCGATATGGGCGTTTGCAGTAGAAAGGGAATAAACTCTAAAAAATTTTTAAATTACTAAAAAAAAAAAAAAAAAAAAAAAAAAAAAAATCATATTTAACATAGAAAATAAAATTTTTTTCGGTAATTACCTCCATTTTTAAAAAAAAAACGCCCATATGTTCCGGGCCGGCGCAAGGCACTAATTTTTCGGCTTATGCAGGTCTCTAAATCCTCTGTTTCCAATTTATTAAAAAAATGATAATAGCCAATCAGAACGTCCAGAAGAATTTTCCTAAAAAAGTTGATCCCTTGGTTTAAAATTCTACAGAAATAATGAAAATTAACCAGATATTATGTAAGCAACACGAACTTACATTATTCACTTCTTCATTTAAGAAACTAGATCTTTCACGAGAAAAAAATAAAGTCGACGAAATGGAAGTGTAACCTTCACAAAATGTCACGAAATGGCAGGCATTAAGAATTAACCCGTGATTACTGATGACAAATAAGGGCGTCCGATAAAAACTTTGTCATGACGATTACGCAAGGGAAATCGAAGAAGATAGCGTACTATTGTCTGATATTCGTGATTGTCCTAAGGCATTAATAAATATACAAAAGATAATTAGTTTTGCAACTAGCTAACAAAAATGCGCATTTGTACATACTTTTAATAAATTTTTTAAAACTTAAAATCGTCGCCTACGCATTTCAAAAAAAAAAACAAAAACTACTTCTATAGTATGCACTCTTTAAAAAAAATCCGTCTCGATAGCATCCCTTTAATTGATAAAAAAATCGTTTACCAAAGAAGTTTCTTTTTTTGAAAAAAAAAAAATAAAAAATAAATTTCGCCTCAACCGCAACTAGCTTATTAAAAAATTTTTTCTAGACTTATGAATAACAATTTAAATACTATTAAATATTTAATAATAGAAAGGATTGAAACATAAATAAATTAATTTTAAACAAAATTGTAAATTCGCAATAACATGGTTGCGCCAAAAAAAATGATTCTAGTTTTTCGTTTTAAATGAATTATTACTCAATTATTTCCCATAATACAGTTTCTGCGAGAGTAGTAGATTTGTGAAACAAAATGATTATGTATGAGCATAATTAACAATCTTTATTTTCTACTTTATCGTATCGTTATTAGTAACGGTTTCGTCATCTGATTGTTCAACCGCCTCTGGATATATATGTATGGAAGACGGCAATGGGAAATCTTTTACAAGAATCAGAAGATTTTTTTATTCTTTGGTGTTTATAGCGTTTTTTTACTCGTTCAAAACTTTTGGCTCATTTCTCTGTTCTTGTTGGAAATGAACATTATTGTTTTTGGCGAAGCGTGCTGGTTGTTCAAATGAGGTATTCTATCCTGATATAGCACGATCATTTAACGGATTTATCTCACATGTAATGGCATAATACCATACCACTGTTTCATTACATGATAAGCAGCAAATTTATTTATTTGATGAATACCTACAAAACCGAATAATGAAGTAATGCTACCTTAAAGGCGTTTTGTAAAAAGTGTAATATTTTTGGAGGGAACGTTATGTACTAATTGGATAATTTTAATAAATACAATCGGTTAAAATTCATTTATTTTAAGGATTCCGGGCAAAACCCGGAGTATCGAAATCGAAAGTTTTCGGACTTTTGCAAAATAGGATTTGGGTTTTGTCCCGCAACCTTAAAACATAAATAGGGTAAATATTATAAAAACTACCAAAGGATAAAATTAAGAGGTAAAAAAGTGAGTTTAGCTGAACTTCTTGTTTATCTTGGGAATATTTATTAATATTAGTCGGCATTTGTTGCCAAAGTATTTTTTAGCCATTAGGCCATGGTTAACGGCTATCACTCCAGAAAAATGGTCATAATAAATATATTTCTCTGAAGTTTATTGAAGAAAGTCATAACAATTTAATAAATAATAAAATATCATCTGCTTTAAAAATCTTCCATCCACTGTAAGTCCTGTATTTGTGCATTCATTAACTAGTTCGATACCTGTATCTTAAGTGAAAGATTTTATCATTTTCACCAAACATAGCAAAAACCTAGAAATATTTTATATGTAGAAAAGAAAACAGATTACGTCATATGATCAGACATTTAAATAATAATAATTCAACTTTATAATGAAAGCAATCATTTATACTTTTAGTGAATATTATATTTTTAAATTTACATAATATTTGCATTATTAAGATGTTTATTCATTTGATATGGTTACATTTGTTTAGCTTGATCATGATATAATTGATTTTTAGAATTTTGCAAAAGGTTAAACCTCTGAATTATCTTAATTTGCTCTTCATTTATTTGAAATTTAGCTTTATTAGAGATTTTGGACAAATATTGAAAATCTTAAATTTAAAATGAAAACAATCATCTTAATGTAAAATATTCCAATAATTTAATTTAATTTAATATTAATATTTTAAATTATAAATGTATTTGTTTTTACAGTGTTATCTTACATACAAAAAGCAGATTAAAAAAACTGAAAATAAATATTATCAAAATCATATATAAAATTAATTCAACAATATATTTTGACAAGTGAAAAGGAAAATGTTAAGGAAGATAAAAATACTGATGAATAATATAATATTTTGTGATGATAAGAAAGTAAATAAATCTGATTTACTATAAATCTTATAACACAATAGATAACCATAATGTAAAATTGATAAAATTTATGGTAGTAGATTATACAATTCATCCTGCTAATGTTAAACTATTAACAATATCATCATAATTGATACTGTAATTCATTATTCTAAAATTTTGAATTATTTAAGATAATACTAGAATAATGTTATGACAATTGAAGTTTGATTCAGAATTCATCATTTGATAATTTTCTATTTTTCTATTTGTTTGCATTTAATTCGTTAACTAGTTGGACGATTGACTCATTATTTCAGCATTCTATTATCATATAAATTATTTAAAGATTGAAAGCATATAGTTTTTATTCTTATGAGTAAAATATTATGTTTACTAGTATAAATCTTTACATAATCTTCAGGTGCACACAGAAAGATCTTTCTCTAAAATTTATAGTTAAATCAATGTCGTAAAGTTCATCTTCAATATAAAAAGGAGGACGTCCGCTTAAAAATTCCATAACAGTACACAATACTGTAGACATCACTCTTCTTAGAAAATGTATCTTAATGCAATGCCCTTTCACTTTTTTTTCGTCCATCAAATATTTTTGGATCAAAATAACAAAGACTTTTAACTGGTATTTAATTGCTCTTCAATTTTTTTAATACTTCAAAATCAGCAAGTTTAATAATATCTTGATGAGTTAATATATCATTAGAGTACTATATAATATATTAAATTTAAGATTAGTAATAAACAGCAAAATCTATAATAAATTAAATGAGATAGAAAGTTTACCAAATCATGATAAACAATCTTTCTTTATATAATATAACCCAGCGCTAGTCAACTGGAATGCAAATTTGTATTTATAATTCCAAGAAACTTATCTAAAATATCATTCAAATAGTTTTGAGTATATCGCTATCGACGTATATATTTTCTTCACTAACAAATACTTTTCAATTAATCATTTTGTTTTAAAAATACATGAATGAGTTAAAAAATAAAATAAAAACAAAAAATAAATTCTATATCTTTAATAAACTTTATTATAAATATTGCTTTAGGTAAACGAATAATATTATCGTAAAAATCAGCTTCACGCAAAAGTTTGAGTTAAATGATATTAATAAATATTAAACATACTGAAATAGATCGAAACACATATTATATTTTATAATTACCTCATGAACTATTTCTTAAAGTGACGTGTTAAAGTATGAAACATTTTTAAAACGAGAGGTTATTTTAAACATTGTTAATTTGTACGATAGACCTTTCTAAAGTTACCAGTACTGATCTCTTGAACATTGCTAAAATGTTTTTTAATCCTAGCTTTAAATATATCTTCAATCTAATTAATCTCAATTGAATCATTGGCAACTTGTATTTTTTAATTTGTATATACCGAAATTATAAGAAAAAATGTGAAAAGAAATAAAATGTTACCATTAATCAAGTTTCTAAGCCATCTGTCCCAAAATAATTAACTGCGAAAAAGGTAGTTAAAAAGCATTGTTATCCAACGACTGGCCATCTATAATTTTAATAATTTAATTATAAAAATAAATACGTCACGCTATATTAGAGAGAGTTTAGATCTCAAAGTATTAAAATGTAAATACATTTCATGTATTTTATTTTTAAAAAAAAATTTATAATGATTATCGTAAGATCATCTGATATTATCATATTTTTAATTTCCAAGGACGACAAATAAGTAGCTATCACAATTTATTATGAAGTTTTTAAGAAGATATGAGAATATAATTCAGTTCAACGGTAGGAAATAAGGACTGGAATTGATTCTACCAAAATTGATTAAATGTTAAGTGCTGTAACAGTTACCTGAACAGGCTATAAAGTAATAAACTCTCATTTACTCAACCCTCAATTTAGATAATTTTATATTCATCTATATATTATTTGAATTATTAAACTTTTAATTTGAAAGATAACAAAAAGAAAGATTAAAGATTTTGAAAGATAACGAAAAGAAAGATTAAAAATTTAGAAAAAACTGAAGTCAAGCAATAAAATATTAGTTTTTAGAAGAAAAGTTTAGAGAATGGGAAAGAAGTGTCTTAAGACAAGCAAGCAAGAAATTATAATTGAACTGGAAGAAATCTAAATTCATCATTCTTATTATATATTATTTTTTTTTATACTGTACGTTAAAACTTCAAACTATAGAAACTAAAAACCACATTTTAATTAATCTCGAAAAAAATTAGTTTTATAAATAAAAATGCTTTAATCCATATATATCTATTCGTGTACTAATTACAATTAGAAAAATAAAATAAAAAAGTAATAATAATTTAAATGTGATCATTAAAATTAGGTTTACTAATGTTGATGACTCAGATCCCAAAACAAAATTTGTTTATTTGAAACTACAATTGGAAAAAACATATTTATTTTATCGAGACAAAGAAAAGATTATTGTTGTTTCTAACTATACTAATAATAATTGCTTTTTTATTTTATTAGAGGTTTTATTTATTATTTATTTATTTGTTTAGAGAAAGAAATTCAATAAGATTTTTTTGGAATGAAATGATTCATTATTTCAAAATTCAACAAAATTTTTCAGTTTTCTATATGCCTATAAAATAAATGTATAATTTCCTTTCAAACATTTGAAAGATTCTTTCAAAGCTTATATATGAGCAAAGCTTACTTTTTTACTGTCTATTAGATTTACATCATATTAAAAAGTTTAGTAGTCTTACTTTGAGAACTAGCAATTTTAGGAGATTTGATAATTCGCATTTCCACTTTTTTTATTCGACATTTTGATCAGAAAATAAATATAAGGTTCTATATAAAGTTGTCTATTATTTCTTAGGATTAAAAAAATTTAACATTCTTTAAAAGATAAAATGTCTATAACTCCTAAATTTTAAATATATAGGCTCGATATCTGTTAAGGAATTAGGTAAATTTGGTAAACTATTTATTTGAGTATTATTACAATTGAGTATTGTTAAAGAGTTTGGTAAAATTGGTAAGTTGTTTATTGGAGTATTACTACAATTGAGTAATGTTAAGAAGTTGGGTAAATTTGGAAGGTTTGTTATTGGAGTTTGATAGCAATAGAGTTCCATTAAGGAGTTTGGTAAGGTTGGTAGGCTATTTATTAGAGTATCACTACAACTGAGTATTGTTAAGGAGTCGGGTAAATTTGGTAAGCTATTTATTTTAGAATTACTACATTCGAGAACCGTTAAGGAGTTTGGTAAAGTTGGTAGGCTATTTATTTGTGTATTATGACAATTGAGTATTGTTAAGTAGTTTGGTAAGGTTGGTAGGCTTTTTATTGGAGTTTTATAGCAATAGAGTTCCGTTAAGGAGTTTGGTAAAATTGGTAGGTTTGTTATTTGAGTTTCATTACAAATAAGTTTTGTTAAGGAGTTTGGTAAAGTTGGTAGGCTTGTTATTGGAGTTTTATAGCAATAAAGTTCCGTTAAGGAGTTTGGTAAAGTTGGTAAGCTGGTTATCTGAGTATTATTACAGTCGAGCACTTTTAATTTTCGATATTTTTGTAATCCTCCTAAGGCGTTTAATATATCCTTGTTAAGTTCCGTAATCGTTAATCTATCAATAGAATCATCGTAAATAATTTTTGATGTTTCATTATACGATTCTAATTCTTCTACATTCATTTGATTAAAATTTTCAATCAATAGAGATAAGTCTCCATGTAATGAATTATTCAAACTAAAAAAATTTTGTTGTCCTGATGATTGAAGGTTTGATTCTTTATTATCTTTATTACTAATTTGATCATTCTCTATTAAATTTTCTTTTGTAATAATTCCATTTAATTTATCAACTACTTTGTTCATAGTCGGACGATTGACCGGCTCGTCGTCCCAGCACTCTAAATCCAAATAACAATTTAATGATCGAAAACATTTTTTTTAAATTTAAATTTATAATAAAATATTACCTGTAAATATGTTAACATAATCTTCAGGAGTACCAGGAATGATACTTTCTCTGAGTCCGTCTGAAATTTTTATAGCTAATTCAAGGTCGTATCGTTCACCTTCAAAAGGAGGGCGACCACTAGATATCTCCCAAAACAGCACGCCAACACTGTAAACGTCACTTTTCTCGGTTAGCGAATCTTGTTGCGATGTACTGTCACTTCCTTTTCGACTACCAAATCTTATTGGATCAATATAAGGAATTACACCAAAGACTTTTGACTGTTGTTTAGTTACCGCTTCAATTCTTTTCGATAAACCAAAATCAGAAAGTTTAATTATACCTTGACGAATTAATATATTGCCGGAATGCTATTGTATGTAAAATTAAATTTTTAATTATTAACAGCAATAATAAACAACATAAGATATATATTATGAAGATTACCAAATCACGATGTACAATTCCTTCTTCGTGTAAACATGACACAGCGCTAGCCAACTGGAATGCAAGGTTGTATTTATCATCCCAAGTAAGCTTATCAAAATTATCTTTCAAATAGTTTCCAAGTGCACCGCCATCGGCATATTCCATTACTAACCAATACTTTTTCAATTGAACAATTTGATTTTCTAAGTTTTTTTTTTTATTTTTTAAATATTTATAAACGAGTTAAAATAGAAATAAAAAATGTCAATATATATATTTTTATAAACTTTATTATGAATAGTACATACTTTGTTTTGAAGTTATCCCATAAAATCGAATAATATTATCATGAAAAACAACTTCACGTTGAAGTTCGAGCTAAATTATAACAAATATAAATTTTAGCTTGATTTTATATACTAAATAGATTGAAATAGACTGAAACTTATATTTTGTAATTACCTCACGAACAATTTCTTTAACAGTGGCGTTGTTAAAATTGCAAAACGATTTTAACGCGAGAGGTTGTATTGAATTTTTCCAATTTGCACGATAGACTTTTCCAAATTTGCCAGTACCTATCATTTGAACATTGCTAAAATATTTGTATTCATAGTATTTAATATGTTTTCTTGAGATTGCATCTTCAATCCAATTAGCAGACTCATTCAAATTATTGGCATCTTGCATTTTGATTTTTAATTATAGCAGAAATAATAAAAAATTCTTGGAGAAAAAGCAAAAAAAAATGAATGTAATGTAACGTTAGTCAAGTTGGTCAATAATCCGGTGTAACAGTAAAATTTTTTTTGTGTCCATGATTTTCCGAAACAATTTCTAAAAAATTAAATGTGTGTGACAAATACCTAACCAAAAAAAATCAAGTCACCTGAAAACAATTAAAATCGAAAACGCGATTTCACGTGACTAGACGACAACCATCCTAATATAGAAATAATTGGTGTAACTGTCACACATTTAGGTCGTGACATGTTGACGCCAAAAAAAAAAAAAGCTAATCGTTAACTGAAACCGGTTTTAGTACTAGACTGGTTATATATAGAAGAGATTCGTATTGCGATACGATGCAAGATTACCAGAATTTAAAAAAAAAAAATATTATTTAATACAAAACAATAATTTATTTTAATATGATTTTGTCCTTCAATAAAAAATGATTATTATTTTTTTATTGAAATAAAAGGGATATCAATAATCAATTTTTTTTTAACCGGTTAAAATTAAAATTTTTATAATAATTCACCTCGATATTGTTACAATTGAATGTAATTCCAGCCGAATTCCACATGAAAATCAGCTTTCGATATTTACAGTTAGTCCTTTGATGATCATTTGCCAAGATGTCAAGATGCCAGAAAATGTTCAAAACGCCAGGTTGGCCTAATTAGTTTTTTTATATATATGTACGAGCTAGAAATCCTTAAACAGCTCAATATTCACGCTCGCAATTGTGATATTTCTTTGAATACATTCCCTTTCGTCGTAATCCCTCATTTTACACCTCCGTGATATTTTTCGCTTTCGCCGTTTTAACTTTTAATTTCGCATATGTAACTTCGTTTATTAATTTTTTATTTTTAATTTCCGATTTAATTAGGATTTATTATTCAATGTTTTTGTAATTGTTTCATATTTGCGCATTTTAAATTATTGCTTGGCATTTATATGGTTTAAATTATTGATCAAACGAAAGGTAGAGCGCCGACGACGTTGATGCAACACTGATAAATTTGATAATATTAAATAAATATTTTGTCATTATTACTTCATTTTTATTCAATCAATACCTTCTGCTTACAATGCAAATTGTTTATAAATACATAAACGAAAGAACAGAATACAACAATATCAATGTCTACGAAAGAATCGTACCGTACCGTAATTGGTCCTATAATAGAAGCTCTATGTATACTACCGGTACGAAATTACAGAATAAGTCCGTATCGTTCAAATTTCGCGAAATTTTCTGATCTGCATATCTACCCGAATCGATTAATCGATATCTATTTTTTAGTGGAATGGTAATTGCTGATTTAATAAATTCTTTGTACTAAGATATGAGAAAAATAATAGCATGGCATGGTCAAAAAATATTTCGAAAAGCTAAAAGCGATAATGAAGGAACCTATAAGTAAAAAAAATAAAAAAAAAAAAATAAAACGGAAAAATAAAAAATTCCAAAATTAGGCGGGCAAATTGATTGCTCTGATAACCTGCTCGTATTAGTTTTTTCAAATCGAAAAAAATTTATTTTATAGTGAAATAAATATAACAATGTGTAAAGCATTTGTCCAGTCTTATTTTATGTATTAGAATTACCAATATTATCATAAATTTGAATTTATTTTGATGAATAATAATTTTTTTAACAATTAATTTTTACTTGTGATCAAAAATCAAATTAAAAATATTTAACTTTCATACTTCAAACTTGACATTTATTAGATCGAAGCATCCGATTCTAGAAAAGATGTCGGAGTAAAGGAAACGTTTACACCATGCTTACTTAACATACTTGATAAATTTAAAAACAAAGGAATAACAGATTGAGTTTGATTATAGTAAATATACCAATCTGCGTTATTTCAACCACCTATGATTTGCTTTTAGAGATCTTTTTTTTTTAAAAAAAAAAAGGCCTTAAGCGAACATTATATTTTCATAAAATAAGGCATCTATAACAAAATCAATATTCATTTAATTTTCTGGCCAATAAAGATACATTATACCAAATTTTATGATAATAATTAGGGAACGGTTTCGGAAACCGTTGTTAAATCCGAAGCATAAGTGTAACGAAAGGGACCAACCACGTATCGACCCAAATTTTAAGCGGGCGGACAGATGGACATTTTTCATTACTATCGCTCATACATAGATAGTCCTTCGCTTATGCTCCGGACTAATAAAAATTAAATGACAAATCAAATACGGAAACTACAAATTGAAAGTTTGTAATCGATGTCATTAAACCTATATTGATAAGGTGTTTTCACACCTTTTATTTATTTTATAGAGAGCGATAATAGAAAATGGTATATGAATTGTAATAATATTTGTAAAAGTCAATTTGACATCAATAAGTTGAATTGATTCACATTACTCATAACACGGAATGTATTTTGATATTTATGCAGAAACTCGACTTTGAATAAAAGATCTTTCATCCGATTAGGGATTGGAAAGGATAGCGTGTGGTTTCATTGTAATGGGTTAATTGTCAATAAATAAAAAGAGGAAATCTAAATTCAAGTCAATTTCTGGTTTCTAATGTAAATGCTATTATTAACAAAGAATCTTTTTTCAACAATCATTTCTTGATTTATTTCGATTACAGTTCTGTTTGCTAATTAAAACAGTTTTTCGTTCATCTATTATCGTTATCGGCTCTATAAGTTGTGGAGCAAAAGAACACAATTAAATACTTCATACAAATTATATTGAGTGGAAGCTGAAGGTAAGGTAGTTGGTGAAAGAATCTATAGATGACATTCGTAATTCTGTTAAAATCGATGCAAAAAAATTTATCAGTCAACGCTTCAATTCTATCGTGGATTAATTATGAATATAAAAGAATGGAATTCATATGGTTTAGCTTGGTACGATTAATTAGATGAAGTTAATTGAAAGTATATGAATTAATAAAAGTATCTTTTACGCCAATCAAATATATCCATCTCTAAACTTTTCAATGACTTCAACTTCTAATTTTCCTAGCAAATTTCCCATATGTTGTAAAATACACTTATTCAGAATATATAATTTATTTTACATTTATGGTTATTATGTGATTCTAGTTATTCACAAAATTGACATCCTTATTACAAAAAAAAATAAAATTTTAAATTATATAATACTGAAAAATAACGAAAAAGTTAAATTTGTAATATATTTAACCAATTAAATTTTACTCTTTTAGATAAAAAAAATCAACATATCATGGATTGCCTTTCCGAGTTTCAATCCATCTTCTAGTCATTTGATATCATTCGGATGAACAAATAATCGATGGTACCCATATTCTGCACTATCAGAGAACGTTCCACCCCGCGATGTCCTATTTTTGCTCTTTGTTTCCTGGTTCGTTTCCGTTCCTATTTTTTTCTTGTAGCAACAGCAAATCCTTTCTCTAAATACGAGGTATATCATCAGAATCTCGAATCTTAGTGTAGTTGCGATTATGAAAATTTTATACCTGACGGTCTGTAATCCTCGAATGCTATGAAATCAAAATCAACAATCACGGACCACACATCGACATCAAACCAGCCCTCCGAGTGTTCCCTTTTAAGCTCATCATCTGAATATGGCTATGTTAAAGTATACACATTTATAAGTATTCAAACGATATTAAGAAAGACAAAGAAAAAAAAAAATCTTACAAGTTCCTCATCATCAACTCCGCTCATTCAGCATCAAAATGCTTTCCTCGATTAAAAGGTTCATTTATGTCCCGATATGATGTTAATTATTATCGTGTTTGTTCTTTGTTTCTTGTTTGATTTAATATTTATAGGATTCTAAAATAGTATACAAAGAGAAGTGTATTAGACATTAGGAAGACGCATCCCGATTACTCTTTCGAAATAATAGATCTTAATTATAGTAAAATGCGCATGCTACAGCGACGAGTACAGGTAATCATGTCAGGACGCTCTTCTTTCCCACGTTTACTAAGCTCGCTAGCATTTTACATTCTAAGAATAAGTAATATACTAACCTTTAATTTACTCCAAAGCCTAAGAGCCTTCTCTTTTCTCTCTTTGATTCAGAATATTTTGTAATCATTCGTTCCCCAGCTAAAGCGTTATGGGATACTCGCAATTCCGTGTTAAGTTGCTCTTTGCTAGTATATTCATCCCATGATTCGATATCCCACCTTGTATATGAGATCTCCCAGTATCCTGAAAAGGTAAACGATTTTAGAATAATTTTTATAAATAAGCAAGTAACGGATATTAAGTACACTTACTATGATGTCTAACTTTAATACTACTTCTGTTACACTTGTTAACGATACTTTATGGGTATGGGATAAAGTCTCAATCCCATTCCTTCCCAAATCTCATTTCTTAAACCAAAACTTTAACGAATAAAAAAAAAAAAATTGAAAAAAAATATAAAAAAAAATCAAAAACGAAAAAGACCGGGGAAAACATTATCATCATAATTAATTATTGATTAAGTTATACTAAAAATATATTATTAAGTTAAATGGGATTTTAAATATAGTATTGAATTTGGGATGGGATGTGACTCTATAGTATGAGGTATTTGCAGCAACTATAGCTTCTGTTGACATGAGTAAAAAGAATTTGAGAAGAAAAGAAGAAAAGAAGAAAAGGTTATCAATATTTTACTCTAGTCGCGTAGACGCGCTTAAATTTAAATACTTTGACACTTTTTGAAGTTTAAGTAAAAGTCCGATAATAACTTCACGAAGTGACGATAAACTAAAGTATTTCCGCATTCCGAAATTTCTAAATAAATTTTTGTTGTCTTGGCCGGCACATTTAAAAATTTAAAAATAAATGATAAATGAAATAAAATAAAAAAAAAAGATTTTAGGAATTTGAAATGTGAATAATACAAAAAAAAAATTAACCGGTAAATTAACCGGTTATTAACCAAAATATTAATTCGTAGCAAGTAAAGATCTACAAATAGTAAAATAACCTTTTAAAAAATTTTTTTACTGTCAACAGAAGCAGTATTGTCCAAAGTTACTTGTTATATATAATCAATATTCTAAAGACTTGTACTGAAATATATCCTGTAAAAGGTATCATGAAATGATTTATTTCGCAAAGAGCACCACAACACAAAAAAACGGAAACCCCATAAATATATAGCTGGGAACTAAGAACGATTACAGAGATTTCAGAGTCAAGAAATGAAAAGAGAAGGCTCTTTGAATTTTGGATATTGAAGGTTAGTATAAATCTTATCTTCAGAAATTAAAATGCTAGTAAGCGCGCTACGCCCCGTCCCTTTGTGCATGGGGAAAAAGAGCGTCCACCTGAATTCGTCGCTGTGACGTGCGCATTTTGCTATGATTAAGGTCTATTGATTCTAGAAAAAGAATCGTTTAGGTGTCTTTCACACACTTCTCTTGTATACTATTTAGAATCTAATAAGTTATAAAAATAAGATCAAACAAATGGGATTCGAACATTGTAAGCAAGTCCAATAATTATCAGCTAGAGATATATATGGGATCATAAACTAAAATATAACCCCAGAAGCATTTGTATTTGATAGGTTGGGTAATATACAAATGCGCATTTGTTAGCTAGAAGTTGTAGCGTTAATGATTGCTATGTATTTTAGGATGATTCACGAAGACATTATCACCAGTTAATATATTTAAACTACAGCAATCATTTAAAAACAATAATTTATTTTAGTGCATTTGTCCTTCAATAAAAAATTTTTTTGAATTATGAACTAAATATAACTAGGAAACGGGGACCGTTGTTAAGTCCGGAACGATCTTGGTATATATATAGTCCTTCCACTTCGTTCCGGACTAATAACAAACGTCTAGTCTCGTGACTAGTACGAAATAATTGATCCGTACAAAAAAATTAAATAGAAAATTGGAAATTATACATGTTTGAAAAGTAGGTTAGGAAGAGATGAATTAATTGATAAAAAATTTTGGTCTAATATTCTTGAAATTCACAATTGATCGCTCTATTTGATTATTGATCTATGACCACGCACATTAATTAGCATTTTACGTTACCCGGTTCACTTTTTAATTTTAGCCAAAAAATATTACTATGTAAAATTTTATCACGCGATTCGAGATACAAATTTATTAGTTTAACCTTATATAATTAGTTCCTGTACATTTCTTGGTTTTAAAAATTTTAAAAATTAGTAAGAATATGTAAATTTTTACTAGCAGTGCCACATCGTTTTTTTTTTTAAAAAAAAAAAAAAAAAAAAAAAAAAAAAATTAAAAGAAAAAATATGTAAAACTTTTACCATTTTAACATACCATAAGTCTATTGAACAAATATTTTATTCATGCCGAATTATTGAAGTTTGGCGCAGTATCGAAACAAAGACTACTCCATCGCAGTGTTGTGCTGGGACATGTCCCAGATGTGCTTGGGAAAATTGGGACATAATGTGTGACAGCTTGGGACATGGAAAATGGACAACACTGCCCCCAGCGTAACCTTCACCGAAGATGACCGGCAGTAAAGTTTTCTGGCCAGAATTAAAAAGTATTTATCACGTGATTTACTGACATTTCGCGAAGGTTACGCAGGGGAAATCCGAAACAAAACTCAATGCTGCTAAAGGGAATCGCTGGATGTAACGCAGATAAGAATGGCATAGTAAGAAACAATAAGATGAGAGAGACATAGAGAGACTCTTTTTATTTTTTAAAAAAAAAAAAAAGCTATTGACGTCAGGTAGGATAATTATTATATAAGAAAGTAACAAAATATAAAATGATAATATTTATTCTTTTTCTATCGGTTTTTAGAGAAAAGTACGATTTAGAAGCCTTTTTGTAATAAATAAAGATAATGTTTATCATAAAAGTACCGTTTGAGGCTCGATTTATATTTATTAAACGTCATAAAATTTTTATTGTGATAATACTTAGTTCGGCTATTTATATTTAAAGATTAAAATGACATCTTTTAATCGAGATAATCATTTTTTTGCCAATAAATTTTAAGTTTTTATACAAAGTAAATATGTAGTAAAACAAAATATAACCATCATGGTAGTACTGCATAAATCGGAACGAAAATATTTAATAAATGTCTGCCAAAGGATGATCGTTATAATGTAAATGTTGTATTTGTATAACATTGCGACGCATATTTATTGAAATGTTATTATTCAAAAATTGTTTTTTTTAAAAAAAAAAGAGCTTTGCATTTAATTGAAATAATGATTTGCAACAGATATAAATTTCTTGAATCTTTCATCTTCATGTTAGGCTATTTGTTATTTAGGGTTGAGCCATTTACTCCTGTAGGACGTTATGCTCATTCTTCTGCTCTTGTTGAGAAAAAACTTTATTTTTTTGGTGGATATAATGGTGGTAAATGTTCAAATGAAGTGTTTTACCTTGATTTATCTCGGTCATTTAATATAGCTACTCCACCATGGATTGACCTTACGCAAAATGCCAAAATACCATTCAGAAGTTGCTGGGGAACTTTACGATAAAGAACAAATAATTTATTTATTTGGCGGATTTATGCGTAATGATCTGAAAGAAGATGTTTTTAAATCAAATGTTCATTCATTTAATTTAAGCTCCTTATTATGGAATGTACCTAATATCGAACGAACTCCACCCGAACGACGAAGAAATCTACAGAGTGTTATCGATAATTCTGGAAAAATGTATGTTTTTGGTGGACGTACTGGAACATATTTTGGTTTTACATCATCCATGACTTTCAATGATATGGTTATTTGGATTATCTTGGGTAATCAATACAATTAATCAACCGGAACCAAGACATCTTTATACCGCAACTTTGTTGACAAGTGGAGTTATTATTTATATTGGAGGATCTGAAAATGGAGGAGTAGAAACTGATATTAAGAAAATAATGCTTTACGATACAAATTCTTTAACTTGGTCAGAAAAGGTATTTATTTATGAATTAAAAACGTATAGAAGCTTAAAATTAATTAATCTTTGTTTATAGATAGCGACAACTTCGAGCGTAATCGAAAATCGTCGTAGACATACGGAAGTATTAGGTATAAGTTAGTACTTAATAGTTTGTTATATATTGTATTTTAAACAACTTATTCAATAATTATTTTATAATAAAATAGCACCAGACGGCAAAATAATTATTTATGGAGGTTCTAAAGCTCTTGTTGGAATTACTCATAGTGCTCAAGTAGTTCTAGATATGTTTGTTTTAAATATGGAAACTGAGCAATTTGAATTTACCGTACCACCAATTACACTAAATATTGGTAAATTTCCACCATCACTTACATATCATTCAGCTAACTTGGTTGATATCCATATGATTGTAGCTTTTGGTATGTACTGTATATTACCTTATAATAATAATTTAATATTGAATTATTAATTTGTAATAAATTCCAAATTTTATGATAGGAAATATTACACAACCAAATTCTGTTCCATTACCATTAGCAAATCCTAATATTTATATAATGGATATTAGAAATTATTCATGGGTTAATTCATTTGAATTAACAAATGTTACAACAAAATCTGATCCATCAACACCAGTGGGATACCACACTTTAACATAATTATGTTAAAGTGTGATATCCACTTAGACTAGGTTATAGTATCACGCTATAATCTAAATACCATGCTATAGTCTTAATACCACATTATAATCTAGATATCACACTATAATCTAAATACCACACTATA